AGGCTTCTCGAGAATGTCTGCCTCACTCTGAAGGCACCCACGGTGCCTGTGAAGGACCCAGAGGCACGTTGTAGACAGGTTTCAGTCTTGTAGATGCAGAACTCTGTCTCCTTGGAAGAAAAAGAAGAGGCTTCGTGTTGGCAAATGATGAGGAATATAAAGGCACCAGTTATGGTTCCTAGTCAGTAGGCAAACCCAGAACATGGTCCAGGGCATCACACCGGGCATCCATTCCTACATGAAGTCTTTGTATGCTTTCTTCCCTATCAATGGGGCTTTAGGAGAAGAGGTTCATCTTGAAATCTGAAACCTCTTAGGCAAAAGACACATCTATAGGGTTGGGATTTGGCCAACTACTATTCGTACTGTATTAAGCCCATAAAGATGACTTAATCCTTGAAGGAAACTGCATTGAACTTTCCTTCGAGGATGTCCAGAAAATGCTGGATGGTGACTATGTTGCTGGCATTACACGCACACGCACACACACACACACACACACACACACACACACACATATTCATCAGGCTACAGAGTGAAATCTAAGAGTTGTCCAGCTAGAAAAATGAGGCTCCATGATTCTTAAGACAAGCCAGTCAGGGCGCAGTATAACACCGATGAAACACAAATTTCCTCTAGTTCTTTAATGCTACCTCCCCCCCATTATTGTGACCCCAGTTCTACCTTCAAATCAGTTAGACTGGAGCATGTACACTGGTACAGATAAGAGCTCGGAAATAGAGAATCCTGGACAGATAAACCCCTCAAGAACAATAATTTAAGTACCAATACCATGAGGGTAGGGAAGGAGTGGGGCGAGAAAGGAGGAGCTGACCACAATGACAGATGGATAACCCCCCACAAACACACCCAAGGCGAGGAACAACAGAAACATGGGTGAAGGAGTCAGCAGACAGTGTAAGATATGCAAAAATAACTTATAATTTATCAAGGGTTCATGAGGGAGGGAAGGGGGAGGGGGAGGAAAAAAATGAGAAGCTGATACCAAGGGTTCAAGTAGAAAGAAAATGTTTTGAAAAGGATGATGGCAACTGGTGTACAAATGTGCTTGACACAATGAATGTATGGATTGTCAGAAGAGCTGTAAGAGCCCCAATAAAAAAAGACCTAGGTGTGAGATTAAAATGCAATCACATACACATAGTAAAAATAATAATGATGATAACATGAGGAAAGTGTGTTACTAAGTTTCCCTCCCCCTATAATTCACTCTATGAACCCAAACCCTGTTGAAGTGCACCCAATGGAAAACACTCACACCTACATAGTTCTCCTCTTTGTTTTGGCCCATTTTATTTATACATATATTGTGTATAATATAATTCACTATTTTAAAGGGTTATACAATCATCACAATCAATTTAAATCATTTTCTTCATTCATATATGCATTGTTATTAGCTCCCCATTCCCCCAAACCTCCCTGTTATAGCCCAAAGGATCTATTAATCTAGTTACTTTCTCTATTGATCAACTATCCTAGATTGCATAAAAAGAAAAATCATACAGGAAACAAACAAAAACTCAACAACAGCAAAATAAAATACAGATAAACCTTAATCCCCCCAAAAGCAGATAATACTAAATACTAGAACAAGTTAAAAATTAGTCAAAAGGTAAGATGGTGTGTGTGTATGTATATATATATATATCTACACACACATATATATCTACACACACACATATATATATATGTATATATATATATGGGGGTGGTGGTGGAGCTTTCTCATCCAAGGAAGAGTTACAGTCGCAGAAACCCACATGAGCAGTTCTACCCAGTCTATAGGGTTGCCATGAGTTGGCATCGCCTCAATGACAAACATTTTTTTAAGTCTGTATCTACAGTATTCCATTTTCAATTCCACTGTGCATAAAGACAAAATCTGTGATTCAAGGGAATCCAATGGAGATTTAATCCCTGTGGAGAACTATTCAACTGGATATTGGGCTTTCACTGTCATCCATAGCCTTCCCCAAATTGGGTGTTCAAATTTTAAGTGCTAATATAATTCCCTCTTCTGGTCTTGGATTTTATTACATTCAATCCTGGGATCATACAGGCTGGTGAACTTTTTCTGTGTGAACTTAGTTGACACCTTACTTAGATGGCTGCTTGCTTTAAGAAAAACCATTAAGACCCACGGCATTATTCTTTCTGATAGCAAGGCACCATCTGCCAACCTCACCACACTTAGCTACAGCACACATATCTTCACTGATCTCTTCATGAAGGCAATCATTGCAGCAGGCCCATCAGAACTATGTGTTCTTAAATTAGTACTTCTTGCCTAGATCAATATTGTGATTAGAAATACCAAGCGCCCCGGCAGGTTACCTATATTACTTCTCAGATAGTTGAGAATGCTGCCTCTAATGTGGACTGGGTATGTATATATGAACCTTCATTATAGGAATGGATTTTGAGCTCATTGCTTCTTTTAATCACCAAAATGAGCATTATATCTGATTACAAAAATAATTGATTAAAGGGATAAAACCCTATCTCAAGAGAATCTGTGAAAGCAGACACAGTAATTTCACAGGCCAGTGGCAATGGAGTGATGAGACCCCGGTCTGATTCCTGTTTCTGCAATGCCTGTCATTCCGGCCCTATTAGGCTGCACAGACTCTAGCTCTGTGCCTTCCCTTTTCCTCCTGCCAAACCTGTATCTGGAATGCCAAAGATATCCAGTCCTAAGAAATTATCTGCCGTCAGAGTGGAATCTGTAGTCTCTGAATACCTCTTCATATTTTAAACATGGTCTCCCCTTCGGGCACAGGGATATGACATCACCTTGTAGACAATAGGACATGTCACTGATTGGAAGGTGTCAAGTGTCTCAGCCTCCTATCATTGAAGGAGAAGTTATCATCATACTTTGCCATGTACTGAAAGGCAGACTTTCAAATGGTTTCATACGTTTCTCATAATGTCTGCGTGATTAATTAATTTGTCTCATTGAAGAAAAAACGATGTTCTCTCTGTGGATCAAGATGAGAACATTTGAAAAATCTACACTTTTGAGAACTTTTAAATTACCGAAAAAGAAAGAAAGAAAAAATCTCATTGGTGAGCCAGAGTCGAATTATATGGTCATTTTGGCTCTCAGAATTCAAAGCATTGATGTCTGGGATCATGTGCATGGGATAATTCCAGGCTACTCTCCATAAATAATACATGTCATTTCTGCTTCACCGAGACTGTCACTGACTGCTCTAAATGACTTTCAATGCAGGGCCCAGCCTGCTCTCCCAGAGTGCACTTCAGCTCAGTTCCAAACCTGAAGGGTCCTTCCAGTATCCGGCCAGCTACCACAGCAACCAGACCTTGGCCCTGGGAGAGACAGCCCCAGCACAGCTCCCAGCCCGCAGTGCCCACGGCCGGGCCACAGCCCAGAGCTTCAGCCAGGTATGTTCAAGGGGACCACTGTGAATGCCAACAGGGCAGGTGGAATGGAAATGCGCATGAGAACCTAGACCTGTCAGTCCATGCATGTTAGGCGTGCCCCGCGATTTCTGCAAGATGCCTTCCATGCTATGAATTAAGGAAGCGAATGGTAAACTGTGATGATGCAGGGAAGCTGAAGTGTAAACATTTTGCTTAGAGATGACAGTGAGTTGTTTATTCTCTGTGTTAATAATATGTGAATGTGGGTCCCCTTGCTATCTGTCTGTGTCTGTGAGTGATATAAGCATGACTTGTCTGACTTTGGTGAGTTCCCCTGGACAAGAGACTCTCTGAAGGTCCCTTCATTGTGTTTTGGTTCTGTCCCTCTGTAAATCCAGAAAGCGAAACGCTCCCAAAGAGGAGTTGCACTCACTTTCGGAACAGTGCGGTGTGTCTTGTGAAGTCTGGAGCCTGGTGGCTCCGTGGATGCGAAGTGGCCTCGAAGCGAGGCAGAGGGGCTTTCTCCTGCCCTAAAGAGTCACAGTCTTGGAAACTCACAGGGGCCGTTCGCCCTTGTCCTATATGCTAACTCTGAGTTATAAGAGACTCGATTGCAGGGAGTTTGGTCCGGTCTTTTTGAACGTCTGATTTTCACATGGGTCTCTAATGGTTTCTTTCAGCATGTGCTTGTTCTCCCAGTGTCCCTGACACTAAAAGATCTTATCAGATCCTCAGCTGCAGGTAGAACGGACTCTTGGTTGAAGAGATGGATGCTAATCTGAGAGTGATGCTTTTCCCCAGAAAGATGTAAACTGATATGATATCGAGCTCTGGCTCTATAGAGACATAGAAATACAGATGTCCTCGAGTGGATTCTCAACTCATCGCAACCCCATGGGGCAGAGTAGAATGCTGGGCTGTGGTCTCTTTGGGAGCAGATCGCCAAGTTTTCCCCATTGGAGGGGCATGGAGGTAGATGTGAACCGCCCAATTTTTATTTAAGCAGCTGAGCTAAATGTGTGTGTGTATGTTTACACGTACTTAAGGTAGGACTTCAAAAAGTTCTTGGTAAAATGGAAATAGAAGATAGTGGAATTTTCAATGAGCTGTTGGAAGCCTGTGTGTGTGTGTGTGTGTGTGTGATGGGGGGTGGGTACTAATGATTCTGTATCGACTCAATGACATTGAGGTAGAAGTGTGTGTCATGTAAAAGTGGTGTGACACACTACTCACTCAATGCCATCAGGCCAATTCCCACCCTGTGGGCTTCCTAGACTCTTGACAGGACTAGAAAGCCTCATCTGTCTCTGTCTAGTGAGTTCCAACTGCTGAACGGCTGACTTTGAGGTTAACAGCATAACCCGATACTCCACCAGGCCCTTCAAACTCGAAAAACCCACTTCCTCCGGTCACCTCTGAATAAAAGGACAGGGCAGAAGTGTCCCCTATGGGTTTTTAAGACTGTAGCTCTCTAAGGGAGTAGAAAGCCTCCTCCTTCTCCCTCAGAGTGGCTGGTGGCTTTGAAGCCCCGATCCTGCGGTTAGTAGCCCATTTCATAACTCATGACACCACCAAGGGGCCTCCTCAGTGGCAGTGAGGTTAGATGGGCTGAGTTGGGCGGTAACTAAGGAATAACATAAGACCGGTGACCTCAAAGGTCAAAGGAATGCTTGACAAGCAAAGCGGTGTTTTTATTCTGAGATAACTGCGGTTGCCATGGAACTGGAGCAGTCACGTTCTAGCCCAATAATGCATCTCTGTCGTCCCAGTTCATCTTTGCAATCACAATGCGTGTCCTTCTCTAGAGCCCTGAGAGTCCTTTCAATATTTTGAATGATGACACATCTCATTTCTTATTTCTAGCCTGCCTAGAAACAGGGCTTCACCCTTCCCTGTAGTCCTACAGTGCCAGAAGAGCCAGGCACATTGCAAGGATCACTAATGGGTGCCAGGCCTGGCTAATAGGGTCAATGATGTACTTACGCCCCTGCTGTCAAAAGCTGACTTGGTTCTGACTCAGAGTGACCCCCTAGGGTCGAGTAGAACTGTCCCTGCAGGTTTCCAAAGCCATGTGACACAGCAGCTGCAACAATGAGCTCAAATCGAACAACAAATCGAGGATGGTGCCGGACCAGGTAGTGTACGCTTCTGCTGTACCTGGGGTCGGCGTGAGTCCTATAACCAACTTGAGGACACCGAACACAAACAACAACTACAACCACAACATCAAGTCCTTACAGAATCACTTCCACGTCTTTCTCCCATGTAGCAAATGGTGGGTCCGAACTGCTGACTTGTCAGCTAGCGGGTTCTAATCACTGTGTCACCTGAGCCACTTCTAGCTACACAAAGCCAGTTCTTTGCCAAAGCAAAGAAGAGAGTGTCTTTCTAAAGGAAAGCAAATGATTTCTTATCAGGCTCATAAATCACTTCTGGATGTAATTTCACCCAAGTATCACAGGTGCCTAGGATGCTCATTCCAATTAAAAAAAAAAAAAAAACTTCCAGTGTATTCCACAGGACAAACCTTTATTGTGTGACCATCAGCCAGACTGTCGTCGGCCCTGACAGTATGCACACAGCCTACCTTGCTGACTATATCAGTCTGAGCATAGTAGCTGCGTCTTCACGTGGGCTCTGCTTTCCCCTCTTGTCTGGTTGTTCAGTTTCGTCTCCTCCTGGATAAGACACCACTTAGAAGGACCCACCCTACTCTGACAGGACTGTGTCAGGGTAACAAATAAATCAAGGAAAAACCCTGTTTCCAAACAAGGTGGCATTTATAGGAAGAGCTATTACCATTTCAAGTCATTTCTTGGAGGAGGGTCGCAACTGAACCCACAGCCAGCCGTAGTAGAGACAGCAGGTGTGATACCACTCTGACCAGAAGCCAAGCGCTCCACATGAAGGCAATGATGGATCAGAGACCCCTGTGTGAGTTCATGAGACTCTACCTGTTTATGGGATTACAAAGCCCAGTCTTTCTCTCTGGAAGCTGCTGGTGGTTTTAAACTCAGCCCAGCACATAGAGACTACACCACCAGGGTTCCTGGATTCCCCTCCAGTTTCCTCGAATTACAGAATGCGCTGTAGTTAGAAGTCACAGATCAGCATGGAGGATGCAACCTAGCGGAGATGTCTGTCATGTAGAACGTGCACGGACAGCCTTGGAAAGCCTCTGAGGTGCTTCTACGCCATCCTGAGGGTCTCTCTGAGTCCAGGATCGACTCGGCAGCAAGGGACTTGGTTTCATCTCCATTGCTTTGCTTTAAAACTTCTTGCCTTCCCTTCTCCTTTCCAGGGGAAGGTTATGTGATCTGGCCTCAATAATTGAAACATTTCTCACTGCACGGAGAAATCACTTTTACTGTAATATTACCTTTCTCTGCAAATATTGGATGGTTACAGTTACTCTGCTGCCTGAGTCTCATAAAAAAATAAATGTCCTATGTAATATATTTCTGACCAGGCATTTGTAGCATTTACGAAAAAGTCGCTATTAAGAAATCACTCCTATATATGTTCCTTAAGATGCATTTTTATGAAACACGTCTCCCCTCCCCTCCCCCGCTACTGCTTATATGTTTTTTTTCCCACTGATAGACTGGAGAAAAGATGGAGCTTCCAGTTTTTCTCTTCCTGTGGAGCAGGGGGCTGCATGCAGGCTGTAACATATTATATGTTACAGTACACCCTGAATCTTGCCTACCAAGGAAGCTCACTTAGGTCTTGCTGGCCAGTCTTCCTTGGGGCCCCATCACATAGACATTGCTAACCGCCAAGTGGCCGACCTCTGCCTCCAGACCTACTGAGGTTCAGCTGGTGCAATGTGACACAAAGCCCCCACTACAGACTGCATTGTTAGACTCTCTGCTGTGGCCCAGGCCCCTCGGGGAACAAAGGACCTTTTCACAAGGAAGGACATTCCAAGGGCTTGAATATCCCTTTCCAGGAGTCTAGGACAAAGGCCAGACCTCGCTTTAGGCAAGGTTACATTCTTTATCCCACACTGTTTCTGAGGTTATTTTAAAGAGTGACTTGCCTTCTGATGACAGTGTCTAAAAAGACATTTTCAGAATTCTGTGAGCAGTAGCAGTTTTGTGCAGACACATTTATTGCATCCCGGGTTCAAGTTTGATCCGTGAATGCTTTTCAAGTGCGCTGTATCGTGGAAACCCTTCATATACTACCTGTACAAAGCTGTTTGCATTTTGCAGGTGACGTCTCTTCTTGTTACAAAGTAGAGAGAGTATATGGCTATGGCCGCGCAGGTGCTAGTGTAGGCCCATTACCATATATGAATTTACCCCTCAAAATTGCAATCCACAACGCATAACTGAGATTGCTAAGGGCCTTTCTGACTGCTGCTGCCCTTGGGTTGATAGGCCTCCCTCATAGCAACCCTGGAGAGCAGGAGGTGCGATTCTAGGACTGCCACTCTTTTTTTTAAATCATTTTATTGTGGGCTCGTACAACCCTTACCGCAATCCATCCATCCACCCACTGTGTCAAGCACATGTGTTCATTTGTTGTCATCATCGTTCTCAAACAGGACTGCGACACTTTAAGGGAGTAGAAATCCCCCTCTTTCTCCCTTGGAGCAGTTAATGACTTTGAACTGCTGACCTTGTAATTTGCAGGTCAAAGCGCAACCCCTAAGCCATGAGAGCCCCTATGGAGGGCATTTAGAAACGTCATTTGTTCAAAGATGGCATTAGTCTTTGTTTTCATCCGGAATGCCCAGAGGAGCTAAAACAGGAAAATGTTTCTCACACAGTGAGAAAACCTTCCTGCAAGAAAGCGCTTCACACAGTTTTGAGGGCACGGCTCACACTGCTGTAGAGGCTGGTCAGTGCCACCTTTGTGTGTCAAGCACTAGGTTTAAGATTCCGGCAGGATGAAGGCTCCTGCTAGTTCATGTGGCCGCGCAGGTGGATGAATGCAACATGGGCGGTCAGGGGCACACTGGAGACTTCTCATGGCCCAAGAACTCAGAGTCAAGTAGCAAGGAAAAAGCAGGA